ATGGAGTACTAGAAGAAAAATGGGTGAATGCTTTTATAATCTTGTTATGAGCTGTGGATCCATACATCCACCTAGCAAATATATATATTCAGTGCCAAACTGCAGCTAATATTTTTGTTAGAGAGGTTTTTGCTATGGGGCGTGTGCACTCACCAGAGAGACACAGAGAGACAGAGAGACAGAAAGCGAGAAATTACCCCTCAAGGGCAGATGGTCACACGGCAATCCTTTCTTCTCTCGGGATTTTGGGCATGTACGCACACATGCCCGGTGTGAGTTTTAAGTCACCGGATCTGGGTCTCAATCTGTGGGCAACTACATGGGAATTCAGTGGTGTAACCATTATGCCATCTGCTGGTCCCAGCAGTTAATATTTCAATGAGCACAGTGCCATGGTCTTAATGTTTCTGTGCCTCCAAAATTCACACGTTGAAATCCTAACTTCTAAGGTCATAGTATTAGGAGTTGGGCCTTTGGGAAATGATTACGTCACAGGGCAGGCAGGGCAGTCCCTTTACAAAAGAGACCCCAAAGAGTCCCTCACCCCTTCCTCCATGTGAAGACACAGCAATAAGTTGACTGTCAGCAACTCGGAAGCCCAGTTGCACCAGGATCTGATAATGCTAGCATCCTAATTGTGGCCTTCCAACCTCCAGAACCATGAAAAATGAATTTGTATTGTTCCTGTCTATGACAATTTGTTAGGGCAGCCTGAATGGGTCAAGATAGGAAGGACAGATAATAAACAATAAACCACATAAATAAATTGTAAAGTACACTTGAAGGTGGAAAATGCTATGAGACAAATAGAGCAGTTTGGTTATGGTGATGCAGTGGTAATATGATGCTGAGACCACATGAGAGGTCCCAGGTTTGTATCCTGAGGTCTCCCTGTGCAAGCTGGACACACACACATATGTATATATGCAGATCTTGGCTGGCGAGGGCCAGTGGTAGAATGGTGATGTAAAGACTGTAGGGGATGTCCTTTCTCCCTCCACTCTCCCCACCTGTCTCCTCTAATAGAAGACTTTTTTTCTGGAAAGGTTTTTGCTATAGGGTGTGTGTGCTCACCCAAAAGACAGAGAGAGACAGAGAGACAGAAAGCGAGAAATCACCCCCTAGTGGGGATGGCCACACCACAATCCCTTCTCCTCCATTCTCTTGGCATCCTGTTCATGCATGCACATATGCCCAGCATGAGTTTAAACTACCATCTCCCAGGGGCCGGCAGGTGGTGTGGTGGTTAAGGACGCTGGACTCCCACATGGCTGACCACGGTTCAAGTCCCAGACCTGGCAGCTTGCTTTCTCACTCTCTCTCTCCTCGCTCACTCTGTCTCTCCCTTGTCAAATTAAAATCAATAAATAAAGTTAAATAAAATAATAATTAAAAAAAAAACTACCGCCTCCGGGACTCGAACCATGGTTGATTATGTGGGAGTCCAGTGACATAGCCATTATGCTAACTGCTGGTCCCCAAGAAGACCTTTTTTTTTTTTTAAGAGAGATGTTTTTGCTGCACGATGTATGCACTTGCCAGAGAGACAGAGAGAGAAAGTGAGAAATCACCCCCCAGGGGGGATGACCACTCTGCAATCCCTTCTCTTTCATTCTCCTCCCAGGATCTTGGGCATACATGCACACATGCCCAGTGTGAGTTTTAAGCTGCCGGGTCCAGGACTGAAACAGTGGTTGACTACATAGGAGTTGAATGACATAACCATTACGTCATCTGCTGGTCCCAAAATAAATACATTTTTAAAAATAGAGCATGCAAGAAAAGAGGGTGGGGTGGGGTGAGACATCAGTAGTATGAAGTGGAAGTGTGCAAAGTTGAAAATGTCTATCAGCGCTGGACTCGCTACAAAAGTGATAGTGAAGCAAAGATCAAGGAGTGAGTGAGCATGTGGATATCTGGGAGGAAGAGCATGCCACAAAAACTGGCATACCTGGCATGGCATATCTGCCACATTTAAGAACAGCAAGGAGGTTAGCAGGGCTGAAATGGAGTGACAAAATATGAAGAGTCAGGACCAGAAGTTGGCGTAATGGCTATGTTGCTGGACTCCCACGTAGTCGACTGTGGTTCGCGTCCCAGACACGGTGACTTAAAACTCACGCTGGACGCGTGTGCATGCCTGCCCAAGATCCCGAGAAGAGAATGGAGGAGAAGGGATTGTGGCGTGGCCATCCCCCCTGGGGGGTGATTTCTTGCTTTCTGTCTCTCTGTCTCTTTCTGTCTATCTAGCGAGCACATGTGCCCTATGGCAAAAACCTCTCAAAAAAAATTTTTTTTTGCACCAAAGGAAACTTGTATTTAATCCCAATTTTCCATGAACTTTTTGAAGCCCTCCCATACCGAGTAGTAGCAGATAAGGCTGAAAAGTAACAGAGGAGCCAAATCATGTAGGTTCTGGAAAATTCTTTGGCTTTTACTGTAGTGAAATGGAGAGTCTCTGGTGGCCATAGAGCAGAGAGGAGTGAGGAATCTAACTGGCATTGTAACAGGATCGCATTGGCTACTGTGTTGGGGACACACTGTAGACAGTAAAGCAGAAAGCAACCAGACCAGTTAGGAGACTTTTGAAATAACAATGCCTTGGATCAAAGTGGTGACAGTGGACCAGCAGTTAGCGTAATGGCTATGTCTCTGAACTCCCATGTAGTCGACAACAGTTCGAGTCCTGGACCTGGTGGCTTAAACTCATGCCGGGCACGTGTGTGTGCGCGCCCAAGATCCCAATAGGAGAATGGAGGAGAAGGGATTGTGGCCTGGTCATCCCCCTGGGAGACTTATTTCTCACTTTCTGTCTCTCTGTCTCTGTCATCCTGGCGGGCGCACGTGCCCTATAGCAAAAACCTCTCCCCCCGCCCCCCCCAAAAAAAAAGCGGTGATAGTGGAGTTCGTCAGAAGTTGGTTCCTGAACAGATTTTGAATGGAGAACCAAAAGAATCCCCTGATGCAATATCCAAGTAGCATGAAGAAAAGACTGATCCATTTGACAATAAAAGCATTCATTCGTTCCCAAACTGCTTTGATGGGTCTTTTTTACTAAATCTTTAAATAATAGAGCTTCTCCAGGACTGTCACTAGAATCTCTTGTCTTTTTATTGTATTCTCACTCTTAGATGATCCCATCCATCTCCTGGGTGTCCACTACAATAACTATCCCTATGACTCTAGGATTTATATTTCTAGGTCAAATCTCTCAATAGAGCTCCCCAACTTCATTAACTGTTCAAATTCATTGCCTCATTCCCCTGATGAATATTTATCAATGACCTCATATGTGTTAGTTGCTGTAATAGAGACTGGTATGCAATGGTGAATGAATAAAGTGGATGTGACCATGCCCTAGTGAAACCTATAGTCTGGGGGCAGGGGAAGACATGTGAGAAAATTAATAAAACAAACATAAAATAGTGAGAATTGCTATGAAGAATACAAGTCTCAATACTAGAAAATAAAAAGTATGGAGAAGATTGACTCCTCCATTGGAGCTGAGAACTAGCGCTTTCAGGCACTAAGAGCAATGAAGATTTTCTACTGAGACTTCACCGTCCCGACCCCATTCTCAATTAGTAGGGCCCCAGTATCCTTCTCTCTGTCTTTTCATTTTTTGAAATTTTTCTTTTTGAAATTTTTTTAAAGTAAAGTATTTTCTTGACTCTCAGATCCTCCTTTATCTTGCTAATAACCCCCCTTCCCCACTCCCATTTAGGAGACGCAAATATGCAGGCCTTCAGAAGAAGACTGACTCATCCATTGGAGCTGAGAACTTGCCGCGCGGTTTTCATTTTTTATTTATTTTTTTTTCTTTCTCTCAATTTTTTTCCCTTTCTCTGATTTCTTATCCTTTTTCTTTTTTCAAAAATTATTTATTTAATTTTATTTATTTTTTCATTCATTTATTTTAATTTGATCAGAGAGAGACACAGGGAGAGAGAGAGAAAGAGAGAGAGAGGGAGATGGAAAGCGAGACAGCAAGTCACCAGATCCGGGACTCAAACCGTGGTTGGCTATGTGGGAGTGTCCAGCACCTTAACCACCACGCCACCTGCTGTTCCCACTTATCCTTTTTCTTTTACCTTCATCAATTTTCTGCTCAGCCTCTGCGCACTGAGTGTCCAGACAGGTCTAAGTGAACCATAGCCAAACATCTGTATACTATTAGGGTCAACATGTTCCTCAAGTCCCACTGAAACTGCCCACACAAAGGGAAAAAATGGAACAGCAAAGAGATTGGAGATCACCTCCTCCTGCGTGCCTCTGAATATTCAGATTGAACTTTTAGAAATTAGGAAGAAACGTGTAACCCATCAGATGACCAGAGAAACCACCACAGAGGCACAAGAAATATGAGAAACCAAGAAAATACCTCTCCTCCAAGGGAAAAGAATAACTCCTCTTCATCCACAGACAGTACAATGGAATTTATGGAAATGTCTGATAAAGAATTTAGAATATTTGGGACTAGCAGTTGGCATAGTAGCTATGTCACTGGACTCCATGTAGTCAACTGTGGTTTGAGTCCTGGTCCCGGTGACTTAAACTCAAGCCGGGAGCGCATATGTGCGTGCCCAAGATCCCAAGAGGAGAATGGAGGCAAAGGGATTGTGATGTGGCCATCCCCCCTGGGGGGTGATTTCTCACGTTCTGTCTCTCTGTTACTCTTTCTGGCAAGTGCATGTGCCTTATAAAACAAACAAACAAACAAACAAAAAACAAACAAACAAACAAAATTCATAGTGACAAAGCTAACAGAGATCCAAGAGAAGAGAGACAATGAACTCCAGAAGAGGCAGGAGAAAAGAGCTGTTGAGTTTCAGGAGGTGAGGAAGTTCTCGCATGATCTAAAAGAGGAAATACGCACCATAAAAAAAGAAACGGAACTGTGAGAGATGAAGACTATAAAACAGGAGGTCAAAACCTCTCTCGAAAGTATTAAAAGCAGACTAGATTATACAGAAGATTGAATCCCAGATGTAGAAGTCAGGATGGCTGAGCTAGAAAAATCCACCATGAAGACTGAGAAAATAGCCTCCAAAATTGAGATAATCAGTATCCCAGAAGGTGAAGAGACAAATAAGGGCATTGATGATCTATTCCATGAAATCCTGGAAGAAAACTTTCTAAACCTAGAGAGGCATTCAAAGATCCAGACCCAAGAAATACAGAGGACCCCAAATATAATCAACCCAAGATCTTCTCCAAGACACATTAGAGCCAGATTGACCAAAACCACAGACAAAGACAAGATACTAAGTTTGGCAAGAGAATAACATCAAGTTACCTACAAAGGACATCCCATCAGGCTCACAGCAGATCTCTCATCAGAAACAATGTGAGCGAGGAAAGAATGGGAAAGTATATTCAAAGTGTTAAGGGAAAAGCAATTTCAACCAAGAATACTGTCCCTGACAAGATTATCCTTCACATGGGAAGAGAAGACAAGAACATTCTCAGATAAGCAAAACCTGAAAGAATTTACCGATACCAGACTGGTTCTCCAAGAAGTTCTGGTGTGAGTGCTATCTCAGGAAAACTAAAGCCAGACGCACAGAAATAAGAGTTCAAAAACAACTAAGAAAATGGCCAACTTAATGGTAGGGGCAAATCGAAGTTGAATGTTATCTTCCAGCATTTAAACAAAAAATTGGACCACAACAGAACATAGATAAAGTACATGAGATTGAACTGGTGAGGTAGAATTTTATGACTTCTGACTAAAACATTGCTGATTTTCTTCTATGCATTGTTTTCCAGAGTTAAGGATTTTTGTCTTCTCTTGAGTTGTGGACAAGTCCATGTACCTACTATTTGAACGGAATACTAACCTGTTTTCTGGCTTTAACTCTTAAGCAAAGTTCTTTTAACATTTTTTGATTTCGATTTAATAAAGCTAAAACTGCCTTTCTTGAAGTGAAAAATATAGTTAAAATACCTGTTTAATGACCACAGTAAGATATGTATCATCAGCTAGGTGCTACTTTATAGTATATTCCTTCTACTCAGAGTTTCATGCCTAAAGTCCGACATGTGTTCTCAGGTATGTGTATATCAGCTGAACTTGCCATTGAAAGTAGTTAGATGAATTAAGATATTTTGTGAATCAATAAAATGTGGGTGAAAGGGGCCAGCAGGTGGCCTGATGGTCAAGGGTGCTGGATTCCCACATGTCCAACTGCAGTTTGAGTCCTGGACATAGTGGCTTGCCTTCTCTTCCTCTCTCTCTCTCTCTGTCCCTCTCTGGTCAAATTAAAAAATAAATAAATAAAGTTAAATAAAATAATTATTTTTATGAAAAGTGGGGGAAAAAGGAATGGAAATGAACTCCAGACATCAGAGACAGTGTGGGAGGAGGATGGGAGATGGCAGAGGGTGAGAAATAGAGAGAAAAAAATTTATGTATACACAAGAAACAAGAAATGGAAAATTATTTGTTGATGATAACATGTATGATTAAGCCACTATACAGTGTATTCTGGATGGGAAATCACATTTTGTATGCTGTGATGTTCAGTGAATGAGTGTAAAATAAATTTTTAAAATAAATAAATAAATGAATAAATAAAGTATGTGTGTGCAAGGAGAGGAATCCTACTTACAATAGTCAAGAAAGAGCTCTCTGAGGAAGTGACACAGAAGCGTGAGAGTTGAAGAATGAGCAGAAAACACCTATAGGAAGTACATTCTAGATGGTAGCAATAGCATGTGCAAAGACTTTGAGAGGGAAAGAATGTGATATATTTGATGAGCTTGGAAGAACATAATGATCAAGGGAAACAGCAATAGGGTTAGGGAGGTGTAGATCATTGAGGCCCTTGTAAGTCATTGCCACGAATTTGGGCATTCATTTTAAGAACAATGGAAACCATCAAATGGCATTAACCCAGAACAACTTGGACTGATTTTTTTTTTTGGGGGGGGGTGAGGTTTTTGCTATAGGGTACATGTGCTTGCCAGAAAGACAGAGAGAAACAGAGAGACAGAAAGCAAGAAATCACCCCCCAGGGGGGATGGCCACACCACAATCCCTTCTCCTCCATTCTCCTCTCAGGATCTTGGGTACGCACATACACGTGCCTGGAGTGAGTTTAAGCCACCAGGTCTGGGACTCAAACTGCGGTTGACTACATGGAGTCCAGTGACATAGCCATTATGCCAATTGCTGGCCCCATCTTGGGCTGATTTTTAGTTAATTTTAAAATTTGCTACTGGGCATGTGCACTCACCAGAGAGAGACAGAGATAGAGAGTAAGAAAGAAACTTGCCAGGTCCAAGATTTGAACTTTAGTCAGTCATGTGGGAGTCCAGTGCCTTTAACGATTACATCATCTGTTGGCCCTTGATTTGTTTCTTTTACTTTTTATCTTCTCTTCTTTCTTTCTTTTTTTCATCTTCTCTTCTTTCTTTCTTTTTTTCTTTTTTTTTTTTTTTTTTTAGAGATTTTTGCTATAGGGTACGTGTGCTCACGAGAGAGACAGAAAGCAAGAAATCACACCACCCCCAAGGGCATGGCCATAACACAATCTCTTCTCCATTCTTCTCTCCATATTTTAGGCATGCAAGCAAGCACACATGCCTGCATGAATTTCAAGCCACAGGATCGGGACTCAAACTGCAGTGGATCATGTGAGAGTCCAGTGCCTTAACCACTATGTCACCTGCTGGCCCCCTGATTAGCTATTCTGAAAGATTGTTCTGGCAGCTGTGTGAGGAATGAGTTGTATGACGGCAAGTGTGGAAGCATTTAGGAGTTTCAGGCAGTATTCCGAGTGAGGTGTGACGTGACTGGGGCTAGGATGGTGGTCACAGAGACAGAGAGAAGTAGGTAGATCAGAAACCTATTAAAGAAGCTGATACAATGCAGAATGACCTAGCTAAGGACATGGATTCTGGTGCCCAATGCCTGGCTTGCAGTTCGGCTCTCCCATTTCCTAGCTAGGCAAATCCATAATTTCTCTGCGTTTCAGTCTCCTCATTTACAAAGTGGAAATACCAATAGTACTTACAGAAGTAGGAGGATTAAATGAGTTAACATTCACAAAGCATTTAAAATCGTTCCTAGGACATAGTAAGTACTGTATTAAGTGCTAGTTGTTAATATTGAAGATGTGTTGGCAACAGGGAATGAAGGAGGAATCAAAAGTGATGCCAGGTTTCTGGCATGAGCTGCTAAATGTCTTTTTGAGACCATAGGGTGACAAAATCTTAGCTTAAGGTGAAGCCACTAACTCACTTTTTCTGTGTCTACAGGAATAAGTCACACAATTGGACAGATGAGACTAGTATAAAAGTCATGATCACTTGGGACCAGCAGGTGGCATGGTGGTTAAGGCACTGAAGTCCTACATGACCTACCGTAGTTCCAGTCCCAGATCTGGTGGCTTGCTTTTTCACTTTCCCTCTTTCTCTCTAGTGAGTGTACGTGCTACCCTGTAGCAATTAAAAATAATTATAAATAAAATTAAATGAGTAGTTCTTATTTTAGAGAGTGAGAGAGATTTTTGCTATAGGTCATGTGCCCTTGCCAGAGAGACAGAGAGAGGAGAAGAGAGAAAGTGAGAACTCACCCCTGGGGTGATGGCAACACCACAATCCCTTCTCCTCTCAGGATTTTGCTTGTTTTTTGTTTGTTTGTCTGTTTTGTTTTGTTTTGTTTTTAGAGAGATTTTTGCAATAGGGCATGTGTGCTCGCCAGAGAAACAGAGACAGAAAGAGAGAAATCATCTCCTAGGGCGGATGGCCACACTGCAATCCCTTCTCCTCCATTCTTTTCTCAGGATTTTTAGCACACAAGCACACATGTCTGGCATGAATTTTAAGCTGCCAGGTCTGGGACTCAAACCACTGTTGACTACATTGGAATCCAGCAACATAGCCTTTATGCAATCTGCTGGTCCTACCCTCTCAGCATTTTGAGCATGCACACACGTGTGCCTGGCATCAATTTCATACCTCCAGGTCTGGGACTCGAACTGCTGTTGGCCAAGTGGAAGTCCAGCACCTTAACCACTACACCACTTGCTGGCCCCTGTAATCATTTTAGAAAATTTTCTCCATTCATCTCTAATTTTCTGTTCTAGGACCATATCCTCCCCACCTTCTATGCCCATATTAACATTTGCCCCCAATTCCCGTTTTAGAAAATAGAAATCATTACATAGGAGCTCCCTCATATTATAGTTACCAAATTTACATGTCTATGCATGTCTGTACCAATTGTACAGCTTCTTTTCCTCCCGCTACTTAGAATAGTGGTTCTGAAAGTGTGGTGGTTTCCTCAGAATGGCAGCATTGGTACCACCTCGGAAATAGCAGAAAATGCAGACCTAAAAATCACAAACTAGAGTAGGGTGAAGAAAGCATTTTGTGCCTTAAAGGGCCTAGGCAGCATGTGTGAGGCAGTTTTTTTGGTTAGGTTTTTGCCATGGGGCACATTCCTCTCCAGAGAGAGACAGTCAGAGGGAAAGTAAGAAATCTCTCCTCACTGCAACCCCTTCTCCTCCCTTCCCCTCGGGGGATTTTGCGTAGCACACGTGCGCACACACACACTCCTGGCGTGACTTTTAAGCCACCAGATCTGGGACACGAACTCCACTGGCCACGTGGGAGTTCAGCATCTTACCACTAAGCCACATTCTGGCCCTGTGAGGCAGTTTTTTGCAGAACTGTTTAGTGACTAAAAAAATGTAAATGGCCATCAGTAGAAAAGTGGCCAAAATAAATTATGATGTACTATATAATAGCATGCATCTGTTAAAAAATATAGTAGTTCATTCTTTATAAAACATATGCATAAATATATGCACCTATGTATGTGTATGTGTAAAATTATGCTATATATGACAGTACTATGTTAATACATGGAAAAAACCGGAAGGGCACACATCAAACAAATGACAATGATTATCTCTGGAAGGTAGAAAGAAGACTAGATTGGTGGCAGTGAAAGAAAGGATTTTAGTTTTCTTTATTATGTTTTCATTTTGAAAAGGAGAATCTATAATTTTGTAGTACATGTACAATTAAAAATACATTGAATAAGCGATTGGTCTATACCAACTACC